AAATTTAGGTGAAGTGGTGAGATCTCACCTCTTTTTTCACCTGTTTTTTCACCCTGTTGAATTCATTGCTTTATAACTCTCTTCCTTGGTTTCTTTTTAGTTGCTTTCTTCACGTCTGTCTCCAACTTGACTGTCTTTCTTCTTCGGCCGTAATGATACCAGTTACTTCCACCAGTCAATGGGTCAAATGGTCTTTTTAAGGTTTCCATACATTCCATAGGGACCATACGAAGAACTACTGGTGGAGAAGAAACATTTTCTTTAGTTCCATCGAATCTATTTAAATGCATTGTTTCACCTTTCATCTGGTCATTAAAGTCTTTTGCATGTTTTGCAAACTCATCATCCTTTCCTAAAGCATTTTCTGACTCAGTCGCAACCAAATTGGATGCTTTATTTATGAGCCCTATTTTTATTTAATCTTAACTTCTTTGCAACCCAACCTCCAATCTTTCCTTTATTTGCATCTAATGTCTTCGAAACTCTTCCTCCACTCATTTTATTTACTGCGTCATAAGCTCCAAGTGCTTTTGCTCCAAATGCTAATGCTTTTGTTCCCATTGCGCCTAAAGCTGCCCAAGCTACCATTTACCCCATATTAAAATCATCTCTCTTCAATATTATCTCATAAAAGTTCTCGTTACTGGAGAAAGTCAATGAAACATAAGCGTTCTCACGGGCTTCGCCCTCACCGCTTTGCGGTCTATCTAACTTATTTCTTATATCATCTATACGCTTCAAAATGTCTGAACAATTGCTAACATCTTCTACAACAGTTATTTCATCATGAATGACCTTCAAGAACAAGCTCATTTAATATGCTATTAAAATCATCTCAATAATGAGTCCATCCTTTCCATCTTTAGGTAGCACAACATCTTTCATTGAAGAAGGTTCGACAAGTCTTATGTTAAACTTACTGACAAAGTTTGTTATACTATAATGCTTCGGCGGCGAATACATATAGTTTGAAAGACATAATATAGATTCTTCAGCAAATTCACTTATACTGGATTTTATAACAATGTTCTCACGAGACCAAATACCACCAATTGACAATCTTGTAAGCAATCCTGCTGAACCTTCAACTGTAAACGTCGATGGTAACATTCCACGAAGGTCATCTATTGACATCGTTGAGTCACTGAATTTAAATATTTTCTTAAAGCAATCGTCATTATCTAACCATGCAATAGCTTTGAAGTTTTCATTCGAATATACATCTGCTTCATTAAATGTAAAACCTGACTTCTTTGCAGAGACGACTTTAAAATCTATTGAGTTTGTTTCAAAATTATATGCTATGGTAACTTCTGAAGGTAATGGATGCCCTTCCGCAGTCAGTTGTTCTCTCACTACCGTTTGAAGCTTTGTGTTAAAAACTTTCATGTCATCTCCTGTGTCTAGGTTCACATACACAGCAACAGGGAAACTATCTTGCTTCTTTGTTTCATCATTATACCTCAAAACATTAAAGTTCTTCAATAATATTGTTCTTCCTGCTGGAATACTTCGAACTTGTCTTATTTCAATAGCTTTCTCACCTCCTACATACTCTACCCAGTGTCTTGGATATTCATAAGTATACTGACTTTCTTGAATTTTGGTTGGTTTCATCATAACATGTTCATAGTATATCTTTATACTCTTGTCAGTTAGACTCGGTGCTATGTTCTGAATATTTCTGACTTGCATTTTTAATGGAGATAAAATGAAGCATTTAATACATGATGTAGATGAAGACATGAATGAAACTACAGACAAACTTAACTCTTCTCTCATTCTTCCTTTCAGCAAAGATTATGAATTCTGTTCAAATGGTGTTTATTTCTATTGTGGAAAGATGGGGTCAGGAAAGACATTCAACCTCATTCGTCATATACTCATAACAGAGCGTTTAGGAAACGACTCTTACTATGACCAAATCATTATATCAGCAACTTCAGACTCTATGGACTCAACAGCGAAAACATTTATGTCAAAAGTTCAAGCCTCTATCGTTAAAGTTCCAGACAGTGAACTCATTGAATTTCTTCAACGTTACATTCGACGTAAGAGAAAATATTATGCCATCATAGAGTTCATACAGTCAGGAATGCAAAAGACTTCTGAGGAGATGGAAAGAATTATTGACAAACACCACTTACGACAATACTCAGGAGTTTACGATATGAAACGACTTACAAACTACATTCTGTCAAAACTTTCAAAATACCCCTTCAAAAAGTATCCTTCAAACACTCTGCTCGTTTGTGACGACTTCGCCGGAAAAGGTTTAGTGTCAAAGCCTGACTCACCATTAGCTAACATCATAACTAAAGTCAGACATTACCATTTAACTGTAGCAATACTTATGCAAACATGGCGTTTCCTTGCTTTAAACATAAAACGTCTCATAACTGACTTCGTTATCTTTCAAGGTTTCTCACGCTATGATATTGAACTCATTTGGAAACAGTCAGGTATAACATTACCTTTTGAAGAAATTTGGGAAGCATATAAGTCTCTCATCTCTCCTCGTTCATACCTTGAGATTCATATCATGACTAATACCATTAAAGTCAAAAATATTCCATGGGAACGACCAACATTGTTTTAAAGTTTAACCTTCAATTGACTGATGGTAAACAAATTCCATGCATCTCTGTCGCCATTTCTGTTAATATTTTTGCTGTCATTCATATCATCCACTTCCCCATCCGTTAGCTTTTAGGATATGCGTTAGAATAGCTGTTCTTAAATGAAGGCTTTTCACCTTTGAGAGCATAAAATAAACTCTATAACTTTCTGCATACTTTATGTTTGAACCTCCTGAGCCATCATTGACATAAATTTTTATAGGCTTCCACCCTTTGTTCATATTCCTGCTTCTTCCCTTAGCTCTTTTGTTCAGTAGTTCTACATCTTTATACACAACACCTGTCTCGGTGAATTCAACAATATTTTCATTCGTTAGCTTTACATTCAAACCCTTGTCGAGTATATTGTTCATTTTCATACATATAAAAGGTTTTTATTCTATATGAAATGAGAAGCAAATCCATCTTAGCTGGTGCCGTTAATGTTCCAATTGAACCAACATCAAATGTTGACTCACGAACGACAAACAATATTGTCATAAAGAACTATAGTTCGGAGTGTTTGAAAGAAAAAGAACCAGAACTGAAATCCGTGAATTTAAACTCAGCTTCAAGTGCAAACGCTACATCAGATGTTAAGTTAGAGTATCCACCACTGGACCAAATTCTTTCAAGAGAAGCCAACGACAACCCTTACATAAATGTTCAAACAAATCCTTCAGATAACGTAGACCATTACCTTCTTCAGTTATACCAAACAATTTTACTCAAAGACGATAAGAAGCTTTTGACAAATCTTATAAGTAAGAACCAAATAATTCTAACAAAGGAGGACCTTGAAAATGTTATCTCACGAATAACAGGGAACAATGTGTCATTGACTATCTCGACCCTGAAATCGAATGCTGTGGTCAAACTCCACTATTCATGAAAAATAGGTAACATCCGCATCATTGAAACACCAGAAACTACAGGAGTTGAGTTTAAGTATAAATATTCGAACGAGTATACAAAACTATCTACTGACTATAAGCTTTGTTTGAAATATGTTTTAGTAAATTAAAGCAGTCAGGAGGGCTCTTTGAGCCCATCTTGGCGCTTTGCACCGTCAGTCAAAAAATTTCAAGTTAGCAATTTGTAATATCTATCCAAAACTTCTTCAACAGTATCGAACTCATCTTCATAATGCAAACCTAATCTTATTGACTTGGTGCAGTTTTTCACTAACACAATATTTTTCTGTTCTCTTGACTGACATAACTAATTCATTTGTTTCATCAAACAGCAACAACCAAAGTTCATGACCTAATACATAACATTCATACTTTATATTTTAGCTCTGAGTTCTCTTGTAAGCTGTTGCATTTAATATTTTCTAAAAAGTCAACTTCAACAGTCATTCGCACTGGTGCCTTCAGTTCTACAGGCTCGCCCTGAAAGTCAACTAGTCTGAATTGCATGTCTTTCAAATTATGAGGACTAATGCGAACCCATTTACCTAAATGAGTTGCTATGACAGGAACGTTTGGAATGAACATTGAATTTACTTCATAACAGAAGGATTTATATTCTACTGAACCTTTACTATTAACTCCTGAAATGCCTGTGACATTAGCTATTTTAGACTCAATGTACAAACAATTACCATAACATACGTATGGAACAGATTTCATCTCAATCGTTTTGTCAACACTTTTCAAAGGAAATGTCATATGGTATGCTCCTAAAAGAAGTTGAACTCTATGACTCATTCGTGTTATCTTGAACTCTTTCTTGCTACTGAACTTCAATGTTCCCTCAGAAGAGAGTTCGACATCTATGTTGTCAATAGTTTCTTCATTTATGAGAGTATCTATGACTCCAGCAATTTTATCTATTCTATACTCTGCTCTGTTAGGAAATGTTATAAAACTTCTTTTGTCATCTATTTCAATCTCTATGAATCTGTTTCATCTGTTATGACAAAAGTTGCGATAGTATTGAAGTCAACAACTCTGAAAGCAAGTGCTTCATTCTGAAGACCTAAGTTTGTTTGAAGCTTTACTGTTCATATTCGTTTGGGTCTGTACTTTGCAAATAGAACAACATTTTATTCTCATTAAAATATGACTATTGCTGCTATGCGTATGAACAAATGAAAGCAAGAAGAGCACATGAACTAGTAAACGAAATCAACTTTAACCATTGAGGCAATGATTTAGTCATTGACGATGGAAAAACTAAAAAAGTCATTGATTTCGATACTTTTAACACATATGACCCATTCATTACAATAAGTAAAGTTCCTATCATAAATGATGGAACGGTGCAAATATAAATTCTACAGTAGATGCCTCATTAGTGAAAGTACTGAATGTTCTCATTGAATTGTTAAAGAGCTTTCGATTTGACGACAACATTAAATGCCTAAAGAATTTAGTCATGAATGAGAAACAAATTCTTGGCGTTGCTGGTAGCAGTAATGATGTACACCTTATGACATTAGAATATTATAACGAACATAAAGATGAACTGAAAGGAGAGAAGGGTGACACCGGACCACAAGGACCACAAGGAATACAAGGAATACAAGGAATACAAGGACCTCAAGGCGAAAACGGTTTGGATGGAAAGGATGGAAAGGATGGAAAAACTGCTAAATCATGGATATGGGACCTTATAAATACTGGTTTAACAGCTGCTTCATATGGAGTTCTTCAATACCAAATCGGAAAGATATGGGCAGTACTTGGTGAAGAAGTTTTAGATGACGTTAAAAATGCTTTGAACTTCATTTCAAATGGTTCGGATACTATTAAAACTTTATCTGGTTGGATGCAAGAAACAAGGAGTCAAATAGATACTGTAAGACGTATAGCAAACAATGCACGTACGGGATTGGATACTTTACGAGAAGCACAAAATACACTAAAGGAAGCAAATGATATTCTTGGCTCAGTATCAGACATGCATGAAGATTGGCTTAAAGGTATTGACAAATCTTTAAAAAATCACAGTCAGTCTATTGCTGACTACAAGAAAAGTATAGATTTTTTACATAGTGCTATGGACGTACATGATGGAAGCATAAGGAACTTACTTAATGCTAACAATAACTTACCAGGAACTATTAAAGCATTTATAAAGTCCTTTGTAAAACCCGGTGCTCTAACATTTAGGTCTTTGAGAGCAAGAGCATTGAAGTCAAGAGATGCAGAAACTCCAACAGAAACTCCAGAAGAACCACCAAAACCAACAGCTAATGAAATATTGTTCGAATATTTTCCAAGGTACTCTGTTCTCATTGCATACATTCAAGAAATACTTAAGAAAGCAGACTTGACTTTAGGAGATGATGAAAGTTCTGTATATCTTTCGTTCCAGTTTCAAATAGCAGAACTTTTGAGACAGATATGCTTAATGTATGACAACATCTCTGATTTCACAAGATATGATGACGACCATGACCCCGAACACGGTGAAGAAGAAGTTTTACAAACATCCATTAAGACAGGAAAGGTTTTAACACAAAGTCTCATTATTGACACCAAAGATGGCGAAGTGGACGTTCTTCAAGAGCTGAAGAAAAATACTTCTTCGGGAGGTGGTGGTAGGCATGAACTTGAAATAAATGAGATAGAAAAGAAATTAGCCGAAAAAGCAGATAAAGAACATAAACACAATATCTCCGATATAAATGAACTTCAAGCTACATTAAATAGTAAAGCGGACAAAAATGAACTTGACGCAATGAACAAAGTTTTGAAATCTCATAAACACAATATCTCCGATATAAATGAACTTCAAGCTACATTAAATAGTAAAGCGGACAAGAACCACGTTCATTATATAACTTCAGACGAACAGATTATAACGGACTACCATGGATATTTAACACGAAGTGATGAAGCGAAGACAAAAAATGTTAATGAAAGAAGATATAAATACATTCGTGCTAAAGGTTATGACATAAGCTGTACTGTACAGTATGATGTAGCTAAAGCACCAGAAGCATTTGGTTATACCGGTGAAATTTATGCCTCTACTTTCAATGTTAACGGTGTATTAGTTGAACCAAGATTTACTTTGAGAGTTAAGTCAAAAATAACGTTTGAAGATGCTATTAAAAGTAAAGCTGACAAAGTTGAACTTGAAGCAATGAACAAAGTTTTGAAATCTCATAAACACAACATCTCCGATATAAATGAACTTCAAGCTACATTAGATAAGAAAGCCGACAAGAACCATACACATAAATCCTTCACTACTGTTAGAGCAGACGACATAATATTGAACTTTGACCTTGGTTCAAGTGCACCATTAGAAAATCCAAGTACAAGCGTAAAAGATACTCTTAACAATTTAGATAAGAGTTGCAGGAATATGAAGATCATGCCAGAAACTTTGAAGCATATGAACTACCAACAATGTTAGATAAGAAAGCCGACAAGAACCATACACATAAATCCTTCACTACTGTTAGAGCAGACGACATAATATTGAACTTTGACCTTGGTTCAAGTGCACCATTAGAAAATCCAAGTACAAGCGTAAAAGATACTCTTAACAATTTAGATAAGAGTTGCAGGAATATCGAAGATCATGCCAGAAACTTTGAAGCATATGAACTACCAACAATGTTAGATAAGAAAGCAGACAAAACAGAGCTTCAAACATTAAAGACAGAAATACTTCAAACATTATATCCTATAGGCTCTATTTATACGTCAATGAATTCAACAAATCCAGAAACAGTTTTAGGTTTTGGTATGTGGGAGCAGATTGTAGATAAATTCTTATACTGTGCGAACTCTTCAAAGCAAACAGGTGGTTCGAAGAAAATTAAAGAAGCAAACCTTCCACCGCACACTCATACAGGAACTACAAACACAACAGGTAGTCATTCACATTCAATAACAAAAAGAGGTTATACAAATCTTGCAGCAGGTTCGGATAGACAGGGAATGCATAGATATGATATTTCAAGTGACCCAGTAGATTCAAGCACAGGTATTTTCTGTGGAACCACAGGAAATCATTCACACACTTTCACAACAAATCCAACAGGCTCGGGTGAAGATTATATGCCACCATTTGTGACTATATTCGCATGGTACCGCGTTCAATGAACGCGCTTGAGCCTAGAAAAAATCTTTAACTTTACATAAATGAGCTTGAAAGAAGTATTCGAACAACATCCATGGAGGTCATTTAAGAAGTTCAATGAAGCTGCAAAGAGTTGGGGATTTACTAACAGAGCTGAAGTGAAAAGGTTCTTTGACAAAAATGTTGTACATCAAACAAAAATAAACCCTTACGACTACTTTTTACCAATTTACTCCAACACTCCTGACGCATACCAATTTGACACTCTCATTCAAAGCAGAAAAGGAGGACATAAACCATTCCTCATCTTCATTAATGTTAACACTCGTAAAGCATATGCATATCCAATGAAAAATAAAGGAACTCGTGAAGTGTTAAGAGTTTTACAAAAGTTTGTAGCAGAACATAGCCCAAGTACTTTAACATCAGACCAAGACAGTGCATACCTCAGCAATGAAATCACAGATTTTCTCATTAAGCATAACATAACTCACTACACTACTGAAGACCATAACCATAACATACTCGGCATCATAAACCGCTTCATAAGGACTCTCAGAGATTTAAATCAAGAGCGAGACTTTACCGAAGAAACAATGAAACACTTTCTCGAAGTATATAATTCCTCAACACATTCTACAACAGGACATACACCAAATTCAATGACACAACAACAAGAGAAAAGTATATACAAAAGAAACGAAGTCAAACGCAAAATATCAGAAATTCAACACAATTTACCCTCATTCCTGGTACAAAAGTTCGTGTAGTTCTTGACGACAAACCGTTGACAAAGAAACGTTTAAGGTTAAGTAGAAACTATTATATCGTAGACTCTACGCAAGGTAATGGATATCTTATAAAAGCTGCTGACGACTCCATAGCATTTTACCCTCGTCATAAATTAGTCGAAAGTAGTAATGGCAAACTTGCTGAAACCATTGACGAAGCAAAGCGAGGAGTGGTTATTGAAATACTTGGCTATAACACAAACGATGACACTTATAAAGTAAGATATGAAGGAGGAGTTGAAGATGTTATACCATCTAAGAACTTGAGAGAATCTAAACCAACACATCTGGGACCATTAGAGCGGGAGTACTGGAAAGACAAAAATATGCCAGAAAGAATAAGAAAATTCTTCTAAACTTTTTCATTAGATGTAAATCAGACATGAACGAGAACAGTCATGAAATTATTAATGGTACCATTTATTTACACCAAAAATAAAGTTTATGTTAGAATGTTAGATCTAACACGTTTTCTAACCACTTTTCTAACATGGTCTAAAACTCTCGAAAATCATAAATTTTTGACATTTCCTTATGAAAGAAAAATAAAGTTAGTTTTATTTTTATTTATTTTTTTATTTTGTATGTAAAGACAGTAATGTCAGTCGAAGCAAAAACATTCACGAACAAATCTAATGGCGAAACATTCACAAAAGGCACTTATAATGGTATTGAAGTCTTACGTAGAGACAAGGATGGTTACATTAATGCAACAAAGATGTGTCAGCAGTTTAGGAAAGACTTTAGAAAGTTGTTGGAAAATAAGTCCTGGGAAGAGTATTATAAGGCATTTTGTGAAGAATATAGCAACCGCCGGAATTCAGACGGTTGGTTTTTATACAAAATTCATGCAGGAATTCCTGATGAAATCAAACAGGTTAGAGGAACGTATGTAGACCCAAGACTTATAAACTATATAGCAATGTGGGCTTCTCCAAAATATTGCATAGCAGTTGGAAAAATTATGGACTCCATAGACAAGAAAGTTCATGAGAAGTTAGATGAAGAAGAACTCGAAGATACAGTGGAGAATGCTAAACCTTTGTTTGAAGAAGTTAGAAAAATGTGTGAAAAACAATTAGAACATGAACGTGAGATATGTTATGGTTATAGAGATTCTCAATACGAACTAGACCAATGGGAACAAGAAGATTTAAAGAGAGAATTTAGAGAATATGAACTCGCTAAGATAGCATTAGAAACTGCAGAAAAGAAGTTAAAAGTTTGGGGTCGTTTTGTACAAAAATATTGTGAGTAAATGAACTCATTATTTTTGCTGAATTCAGCACAAAATTCTGAGTAAAATGACATATGGCACGTGTGAAACCGTTGAGTTTTCACAAATTTTTAAAAATTGCTGCGGAAAGTTCGTCAAAAAAGTGAAGGTTCCCGACGGTTTCAAACCGCCATACTTTACATGAAGATAGTTTACAATGTCAACTAAATATCATGTACGATAGAAACGGTTATGTAAAGTTTACATTTTGTAAAGTTTTGTCCTGATTCAAGACAAGTCTTGTATTTTTTCAGAACAAGTCTTGTATTTTTTCAAGACAAATCTTGTCCTGATTCAGAACAAGACTTGCACTTTTTAGTCAGTTTTTCTTGTAAAGTTCTCGAATTTGAGAACAATTGTCCTGATTCAAGACAAGTCTTGTATTTTTTCAGAACAAGTCTTGTATTTTTTCAAGACAAATCTTGTCCTGATTCAAGACAAGTCTTGCACTTTTTCAGGAAATCCTATCGTCCAACTTTACAAATGTCACTTTTTCAACATGATTGCATTTTGGTCGGGGAACAACTTTCTCTCAATTTTGCCACTTTTTCTATCGTCGTTTTGTCACTTTTCCCTCAGGTGTGTGTCAGAAAATATCCAAAATCTTTATAGCCTCGTATCTCCTTCAATTCTTGACGGTTTGACATGTATGACACACCATTCAATTCAGAATTATGTGCTGAATCTTATGACCTTCATTTGTTCGTGACTTCTTTTCACATATGTAACCATGAATTTTTAACATTTCTTTAACACAGAAAAATAAAGTTAGTTTTATTTTTATTTATTTTTTTATTTTGTATGTAAAGACAGTAATGTCAACATTAGAGAACACAACAACTGCTATCGTTCATGAAGCCATAAATGAAGAATACGAGTACATACAATATAACAAACAACTTCGCCTCATTCGTTCAGTCAAAGATGATATGTATCAAATGCAAAGTATAATGAACGCTCTTCTTTCTACAAAGCAAGCATATCATTGGTTTGAAAACCAACAGGCAAAAGAACTTTTAGAAGAATTTCCTCATATGATTGCTTCCCTCGGAAAACCGAGGGAAGAGATTCCGTACGAAAATCGCAAGAATTTGGCACCTGGTTTGAAAGGTTATTATGTTCATAGACTTTTAGTAAATGCTGTAGCAATGTGGGCTTCACCTCGTTATGCTTGTTATATTTTCATGATGTTAGATGAACTATATAAAGCAGAACGTGGAGAGATGGAAAAGAAACTTCAAGCAAAAGATGAAGTCATTGAATCCAAAGACAAAAGCATACAGAAAAGAATACCACGTTCAGTACCAAAAGGAAAGGAAAAGAGTTATAAGTATATGATATATACTGAAGAGTTGGAGAAAGAGAAGACAGAGATATGGTTATGTTGCATTTAGTCAGAAGAAACAACAAGAGCTTTTATGACTTAGCTAAAATATATAAATCTGACAGAAACTGGTTCTATCGTGAAAACTTACCGATTTCAATGACACCGAATGAGCAAATAAAGGAAATTGTCAAAAATACTCTTCCTCAAACACACTATGACATCAAAGGTTGCACAATACTTACATTCAAAGAAGACTTAACATTACTGAAGGAAAAAATAACAGAATATTTCGATAACTTCAAAGAGGAAGAATGAAAACTTACCGATTTCAATGAAAAACATTAACTTTTTGACGAAGTGAAGATTTGCACTTTGACAAAATTTAATGAAAAACATTAACTTTTTGACGAAGTGAAGATTTGCACTTTGACAAAATTTAATGAAAAACATTAACTTTTTGACGAAGTGAAGATTTGCACTTTGACAAAATTTAATGAAAAACATTAACTTTTTGACGAAGTGAAGATTTGCACTTTGACAAAATTTAATGAAAAAGTTAATGAAAACTTACCGATTTCAATGAAAAACATTAACTTTTTGACGAAGTGAAGATTTGCACTTTGACAAAATTTAATGAAAAACATTAACTTTTTGACGAAGTGAAGATTTGCACTTTGACAAAATTTAATGAAAAACATTAACTTTTTGACGAAGTGAAGATTTGCACTTTGACAAAATTTAATGAAAAACATTAACTTTTTGACGAAGTGAAGATTTGCACTTTGACAAAATTTAATGAAAAACATTAACTTTTTGACGAAGTGAAGATTTGCACTTTGACAAAATTTAATGAAAAAGTTAATGAAAACTTACCGATTTCAATGAAAAACATTAACTTTTTGACGAAGTGAAGATTTGCACTTTGACAAAATTTAATGAAAAACATTAACTTTTTGACGAAGTGAAGATTTGCACTTTGACAAAATTTAACCAAAAAGTTAATGAAAACTTACCGATTTCAATGAAAAACATTAACGTAAACATTAACGATAAAATTTATTTCCTGTGTTGTTGTCAAAATGTCATGTTGTCATCATTTTTAAAAGAAGTTAAATAACCTGGTAGCACATGGTGACGTGGTGACACTTTCAGTTCTTCAAAAATATATTTTTGCTTAAATAGCTTCAGGGTCTATTTCTTCAACCATTTCACTTCCTTCGTCAATGTCAATAGAAGCTTCTTCAACCTTTGGTAAGAATTTCTGTATAACATCTTTGTTCGTTATTGTCTTCAGAGATGAAGGATAATATTTCACATTTGTTTCACCTTTCTTATATTCTTTCTGTTCGGAAAGATTTAAAGCAATACTGAAGAAGTCAATGTTAGAGTTCTTTATGACAGTATAATGAGTATCTTTGACATTCACGAAGAAACTCTTTTGTTTCAAAACTACTGCTAACTCTTGTGAAGTATAACGTTTGCGGTCAATGACGATAGCTAATGGTCTGACATACTGACCAAACTTAGATTCTTTCACAAACTTCTTGTTAAAGATAACATTAACGTTTGAAGCATTATTGAACTCATTCTTGATGGCAGTAGCGAGAGCATTGTATGAAAAGAACTTGCAATCTTGCATGTGTTTCATTAAAATAAAAATATTAAATTATTTTGAAAAATAACTTAAAAAATCTAATCTAATTTTTTCAAAAAATATTTTTTTATTTCCTACTAAAGATGTATCGGAAGTTGTCTAAGTTAGAACACTCGGAAATAAAACAACTTCTTACAGAAGCTAATATAGATGTTGCAAAGCATTACGCAACAAACAAAAAGGCACTCGCTGACATCCTCAATGACTACAATGGTGAAATAACTTATGATAGAATTCATGAGTTCATAAATGCAAGAGCATTTCCTTTAAATGACGTTGCTATTGACTTATATCATAGACGTTCAATACCTCATGAAGTAAGGCGTGAGATGTTTGACATAACAAATGCGAACGTTGGTCATACTCGTAAAGCTCTTTCTCATGATGTTCGTCAAGAGATGTTTGACATAACAAATGCAAACGTTGGTGAAACACGAAAGAGAGACGACACACTGAAACAACAGAGAAGAGAGATGTTTAAAAGAGCTATAGAACAAGTTCGTAAAGCTAACGATGTCATTCGTTCCATTGACGACAAACCAAAAGAAGGTGAGAGATGGTTAAAGAAAGATGAAGAGAATAGGAAGAGAAATGTGAAGTCAGGCAATAGACTCATTGACTTTAACATCGAAGCTTTAGATGAACCAAACAGAGACTACTTACACAAACATTTCGGTAAGGTTTTCATGAGACTCTTAGAGAAAATTAAAATAAACTCCCAACAAAGATGGATGGTATGTTATAAACTTGGTGGAAAGTATGAATGTTCTACGTTAAACCTCAATAATATTGGAACATTACTACATCAGCTCTTGAAGGAGAACTTTATATCAGAGATAGAAGCAAATGCTGCAGGTATTGTTGAAATGCACTATGACTTCTTCTTGACAAACATAAAGAATCTTACTGAAATAAAGATGTATGATTTAACAGAATATGAAGGCTTAACGATGTCAGATGTAAAGAAAGGCAAACCAAAAAAAAGACCATATAGAGATGAAAGCACACTGACAAATGACCAGAAAGCCATTTTGGAAGCTCTTAAGCAAACAGGAAACCCAGCACTTATAGAAAGCTTTTGGAAAGATAATGGTGAAAAGAAGTTTTATAAGAAGAGAAGCGGTCAGTTCTGGAAGTATCTTTGCACATTACCTATAAATCTTGAACGCTACCAAATCTTCAATGAACTGAACAAAAGAACTGCAACACTTATGACAGAAGACAATTGTTTCGTTTATGCTTGCATTCAGGCTGGAGTAAATGAAGAAACTATTGACCACATGAGAGAAGTCATTCGTGTTAGAGACTTTCCTCAAAGTAAAGTACAAGAAATTTCTGACGCAACTATAGCATTTAATGTTACCATTGGTTATTTCAATGACTCAAGACATAATGAAATAAAGAGATATATACCAAAAGAATGTGAAACTGTTCGAACTATTGACTTACTTCTTGTTGAAGACCACTACATGCTAAATGAAAGACTTCCAATGACAACATATTTCATTCGCAACTATATAGAAATCTTGAAGGAGTGTGGTGGAATGAACATTGAGAAACAGATGAAGATTTATACAAAGAGAGAAGATAAATATGTAGTTCGCATGATAGAACTACACCGCTATGGGATGTTATGAAAACATTGTGGGAGTGCAAATATTTCGAACCTATTTCTTATGGAGAACTTTTCACATATACGACTGACTTATATAAACAGAACCTTGCACCATTTAAAGATTTGACATATGCTCCAAAGTATTGTGTACAACTGAAGAAGAAAGCCGAGTCAAAAGAAGTAAATAAAAATAAGTGCAAGTTCATTCCTGAGCACGTTTTCTTTGCTGACTTTGAGTGTAGTACGGATGGCTTTCATAAAGCTTTTAACATCTGTTATGACAGTGAAGATGGTTCAGTGAGTGAAAGCATTTGGGGTCAAACTGTGCAACAGAATTTTTGGAGCGACTTCCTGACAAGAGTTTAATATATTTCCATAACCTCAGTTATGATATAAACTTCATCTTAAGACACATGACAGAAGTGAAAGGAACTCCCATCATTAAAGGTTCACGAACAATGCAAATAACTGGCTTATATAAAGGAAGGGCAATTATTATAAAAGACTCTTACAGTGTTATAAATAAGAAGCTTAAACTATTTCCTGCTATGTTTAACTTACAAACAGGACCGAAAGAAGTATTTCCATACAACTACTACAGCAGTGTTTTGTTAGCAAATGACAACAGAACTGGTGTCATTTCTGAAGCATGTAAGTTTATCCAGGATGCAGATACATTCATGAAAAACATAGATTCCATCAAAGGTTGCAGAATAGATGAAAACCACTTCGACTTAGAAAAATATAGCACATTCTATTGCAAACAAGATGTAAGAATTTTAAGAGAAGGTTTTGTTAAGTTCCGCAATGACATATTGAAAGAATTTGATTTAAACGTTTATGACTACGTTAGTATTTGTTCAATTGCTAACAAATTATTTGAGAACAGAGTGTACTTCCCGAATGGAAATTTTATGACCTCTCAAATAAACCAAGAGAATTTATTTCGAGATGCATTCAAGGTGGAAGATGTATGCTGTCAGATAACATGAAACAAAAGAGCGAAAAGAAACTCATTGCTGACTTCGACGCTGTTTCATTATATCCATCAGCTATAGCAAGACTTTATACTTTAGAAGGAATTCCAAAAGTATTGAAGGATGAGATGTTAAGCACAGAGTATCTCATGAGACATTTATTCGACGACCAAAAGGAACCCATTGGTGAAAAGTTTATGTCTGGCTTCTTTGTTCTCATTAAGATAACAGAGATTGGAATACATAGACACTTTCCTTTAATAGTTTGTGACCCTGAACTAAATCCAGAACTTAACGTTCCCAGAAGTTCAAACACTTGCTGTTTAATGTATGTTGACCATATAACATTACAAGACCTCATAAAATATCAAGGTGTCAAATGTGAAGTGTTGCAAGGATACTATTACGATGGATACAGAGATATTAGAATAAGAGATGAAGTAAAGAAGTTGTTTGAGTTAAGGTTAAAGTATAAGAAAGAAGGAAATCCTTTGCAAGAAAATATAAAGCTCATTCTGAACAGTATTTATGGCAAAACTATTCTATCTCCTATTGAGTCAAAAATAACCATAGTAGATGACAAAAATGCTATAAGATATGCCATCAGAAACTACAACCATATAGTGAAGTTCGAAGGTTTGGATGGTTCAGATAAAACTATTTTCAAGCTAACGAAAAGCATTTGCAGACACTTTAACTTCTGTCCACTTGGTGTTAATATTCTATCTATGTCGAAGAGAATAATGTGTGAAGTATTCTGTACTGCTGAAGACTTAGGAATGGACATCTTTTATAGCGATACCGACAGTATGCATCTCTACAATGAAGATATCCCTCGTTTAGCTGAAGAGTTTGAGAAACGTTATGGAAGAGTTCTCATTGGTAAAAACCTTGGTCAATTTCATAGCGACTTTGCAGAAATCACAAAAGATAAACAAAGTTTAGCATACAAGTCAATATTTTGTGGAAAGAAGACTTACATAGACTTACTCACGAATGATTTAAATGAAGTTGCATTTCACTGCAGAATGAAAGGCGTGAAGCAAGATGTTATTGCTTTAACCGCTAATGAAATGTTTCCTGACTCTGTTCAGTGTTTCTATGATGAAGATAAAGGTTTAATGGTTCCGCAAGGAAAATTTGACAAAGACTCTGAGTTCAGTGTTATGCAGTTATATAAAGCACTTCATGATGGTCAAGAGATTGGATTTGACTTATGTAAGTCTTCTAGTCCTTGCTTTGCTGAAAAGTTTAACTTCTCAATAACGACTAAAACAAGCTTTATTCGTAAGTTGAAGTTCTGAGGTCATTTATTTTTGTCAGCAGTGAGACCATTCATGATAAAAATAAGCCGCTAGCGGCAAGGGCGAAGCCCATGTGGTCATTTACAATACTGCGATGGTAGAGTTTAAGAGTTGTGCTTCAATGTAGAGACAGTCCTTATGGTCTGGAGGTAAGAACACTGGGCAGTTATGGTCATGAGTGGAGAACATGTCTATCCAAAACTCACGATTGAAGCCAGTTAATTTATAGTATTTAGGGTTAGGAAGTGGTGATGTTCTTGTATGACCAATGAACTCATTTTCAACTCCCTTACTTAAGTTTGAATATAATATAGCTTGCTTTCTATCCCAAATGCCAGGTGTTACAATCTTTGAAAATTCATTTTTCCTCGGAAGCATTGCATCATAATTGAAAACATTCTTGAAGTCTTCATTGGGTTCAGAGATTTGAAATCTTATACGTAATGGATTTTCTTTCTCTTAGCTACTTCATTGAATGGTGAATATATAACAAACTGACAGTCATGAGTTCCATCTTCATTTTCATTAAATTCATAATGAAAGTCTATAATTGTGGCTGACTACCTTTTCTTTCAGTTGTGCAAGAAACTCACGTAAAGGCTGTAAAGTTTGTACTTCAATGTTGAACTTTTTCTCGAACATCTCATTAAATGAAATCATACATTGCAACAATGTTGTATCGTCTTTAAAGTATTTGTATTGTGAATGTTTTGGGCGCTTAAAGACTGTTCGTCATTTTCTATCTCGACTTGAAGTATAAAGTCAACCTTTCTGAAAGCACGTGTTATATACATAGATGTTATGCCAATGTACTTCTCTTCATTTATGTTCACAATCCAGTCTGTTGGAAACTTAAACGTTACTCTGTTCCCCTTTATTTTGACGTCAGGGTTTTCACTACTGAACGCAACAGTTAAAGGTATTTGTCTATACATTTAATTCGGATAAAAATAAACCATTTACTCTCTTCTTTGCTTCAGCTTCTTTAGCTTTTGCTTCAGCTTCTTCTCTAGCTTTCTTCGCCAGCAAACGTGGGTTCTTTTGTCTTCCAGCAGCTAATGCAGCAAGTTGTTTTTCACTAAGTTTTTCTCTTTGGTCTCTCTGGCTTTTGTTCTTGTTTTTGTTCCTTCAGTTCGGATAAAATTTGCTCGCGAATTTCTTTCTTCAATGCTTCAACATCTATGACCCCTTGGGTCTTGTCCATATGACTTGTCTGAGTCATTTGACTGCAGATAAAAAAAAATTAAAACTTTAACCGATGTAAAATGAGCTTGTCAAAATCAGAGCGAAGTCTATTATATTAAATGACGCAAGAGGAATACAACATCCTTTCTATTACGTAAGTCAGAGTAAAGATGGTAAATATACGTAAGAAAAAAAGGTTCCATTAGCGAATGCAGAAAGCGACAACATTAAGGTGGCATGCACCGAGGCGAAGCCCATATAAAACCTTCGTTCAAACTGAGCAAAAATAGAACCACAAAAAAGAAGCCAGATGTACTTTCATAACGAACCAAGAGCTTATTGCAAAGTTCGTGAATTTCATTGAAAAGCAAACCGAGTCAAAGAACCCTGACCCGCCAGTGAAAGAAGTTGAGACAAAAGAGAATGTACAGTTCATTGAAAATGTCCAGAAACAACTTCCACCACGAATGCCAAGAAGAAGAGTGAGAATAATGAAGTAAATAGATATTTTTATTCGAAGTAAATACATGCAAACGAACAGTTAAACGAATTTACTCCAGCAGAGCATATTCAGATTCGCTCATTATTTCGATATCATAGACAATGCAGTTCAAATTGGTGACACTAATAGAAAATATTCTGACGCAAAGATTCCATCACAACCTGGAACTGCTAAAGATAACACATGGGTAACATTCAATCTCTCACCTCCTGGTGAAAATATGTTGACCTTTACAATACATTCATTACGTATAAAATGGAAGGTCAATTTATTGTAGATAAAGAGAATTGGTTCAGGTTCCAATAAAACAAACCCA